GGAGGGGTAGGGGAAGGGAAAAAAGGGAAAAGAAAAAATATGAGAAAAGGAAAAAAATGGAAACAAAGTCTTTGCAAATGGGGAAGGGTGGAGCGGGTGAAGGGAGGGCAGGGGGAGGGGGAAAAAATAAGAACCAAGATACTCATGTAATGGTACAAGATCCCAATGATGAATGTAACTATTTTATACCCAAAATGTACCAATAAACTTAATGGGAACAACACACACACACACACACATAAGAATATACCATCGGTGATATTGCATTCATCCTGCGGAATCACATAAGGAAACATATGATGTCAGATTGCCTCATTTTAAAAGATTTAAAGTTGATCATTGGGTTCAGCTGTTATTAGCCTGATCCAGCCATTATAAAGATCCCCATTAACTTTTCACCTCATAATTATAGCAGTTGTTAGTGATCATTGCTTGTATCCACCATTTCATTGGGAATTGCAAAATGGTGATTTTTTTAAATCCTATCATTCTCTTTGCCTTTATTGGCCTGATTCAGAGAGAGAGAGAGAGAGAGGGAGGGAGAGAGAAGAACTTGCCCTCATCAGCTATTTGTTTACCCTAAAATACAGTTTGAATGTCTGAATAGAAAGGCAGAGTATAAAAGTCTTCGTTCTTTTTCTTTTATTCTCCAGTTTCAGATTAATGAATTGGTGATCTGGCAATCTATAGAAGGAGCCAGTGAATTTTAGTGTTATATGAGCTCATACATTTGTTACAATCCAATACATTTATTACTCTTTTTGATGCTTAAGTTTTACCTTTGAGCCAGAAGTCCCCTTCAGATAGCTTCCTTGCTGTTACCAGATGTCTCAGGCTTGGGGCTGGGGGAATAGTTCAGAGGTAGACCACATGCTTAACATTTGAAAGGCCCTGGTTTCAATCCCCACCGAACACCGAAAAAAAAAAAAAAAAAAAAAAAAGACCTTCGAGGCTCTTCCTAAACATTTCTTGCTTCAAGCATGGAATCAGCCATTTTTCTACAGAGCTTGCCTCCTCGTAGTAGAAATAGTATTTGGAGACCACAAATGGATGGGCTTTCATTGCTACTAGATGGGCTTTCATTGCTACTAGAATGTCTTTTACTCCTAGCTATACTGCAGGTCAAAGCTAAACAATACATATTTTTTGAAAGAAAACTAAATAATTAATTCATACTGGTTTTTCCAATTTAATATGAAGGTAACAGTTTTCATTTAACTTCTTTGTTTTTTGTATTTAAATCTTTTATGCCGAAATGCTTGATTCCTAGGGTTATTAACATAATTACAAATTTGAATATGGAATATTTTAAATAATTTCAATCATACTAATATTAATTACTGATGATACAAATTGAGTCTTTTGGAGAGCTGTATAGTCAGGTACCATGTTTTAAAATCACTTAATCTCTGTGATCATGTCACCAGCTTTAAATATACTTAGGTTCATTTTTTTTGGTACCAGGGATCGAACTCCTTAGGACCTTGTGCTTGCAAGGGAGGCAGCAGAACCACTGAGCTAAATCCCTGTCTGTAGGTTCACTCTTTTAATTACTTTACTTAATGGTTTTATTTTAATTTTGATAATGGTTTTATTTTTATGTTGGTTTCAACACCAAAACTATCAGTGAGGATACATAAATCTTTTGTCTATTTCTGTCCTCCTCCATTCTCTCCCCTTCCGCTAGGGGGTGCTCATTTTTCTGTTAATCTTTATTTATTTTTCAAAATTACATAATGAATTTTTACGTTTCTAAATGGTCTTTAGGTTTGTAAATGAGCCAGAATAACTACTTTTAAACCATTTTGATTTCCTTGAATTTCTTTAAAATTTCTTCTTGGCACCTCTGGGTACTACCGATCTGACCACCACACCTTACTCCTTGGGCTAAAACTAAGGATATATCCTGCCTTTGCTTGTGGCTTCAGAATACCCTGAAACTTTGTACTTCTACTTTTCCTTGCTCACCACTGAGCATGGGAAGAAATATTCTACTTCCGTTTGCCATGCAGCATAGCACAGTGACCCTAAGAGGAAGCCTCCTGTGTCCAGACATGGACTCACTGGTATCCATGGCTGACACGTAACCTCTGGGTCCATGTACTCTAAGGTGCAGGAAACTAACTTGGTACAACGAAGAGATTTTTTTTGAAACTGAGAAGTAAAAAGGCTAGCTCCCTGCTCTGGCCATCTTTTCTGTGGGTGGAAAACAAAATACATAGATGCACACAGGCTGGGAACACTTTGCCTCCCTGAATCTCCCAAATCATGTAGCTTTGAGTTGACCTTGGTTGGAACACAGGAACAAACAAAATGATGGTGATGATGATTACTAGATAGCAGTCCTTCTTTCCAAAGAAAATGATAAAAACCCGGGGACCCCGTTAGGTTAAGAACATCCTATCCCTTGGATACAGCTCTGCTGCCTCTTCCACACACTGTCTTTCAGGTGCCTGTGCAGTCCTGGTTCGATGACATGACAGACACGGAGCTGCTGGACCTCATCCCCTTCTTTGAGGGGCTGAGTCGTGAGGACGACGTGTACAGCATGCTGCACAGACTCTGCAATAGGTAGCCCTGGCCTCGGCTGCCTCCGCCTGTGCACTCTGGAACCTCTGGCCTCGGGACCTACCTGGCCTCAGCTCCCTCAAGCTGATAGTGAGGAGACTCCATGCTCCAAGCCACAGGGTGAATGTGGCCATGCCTACCTGATTTGTTTTTAAGAACAGAAACAACTATTTTAAAAAAGAACTCTTTTAACACATTTCATAAAGGGACATGCATTTTACTGGATTTGCTTTTCTTAAAACATACCAAAAAGAAAAAAATGGGAAAAAAAAGCTTGATATCTATCAGACTTCTTTGAACTGTCCTCCCCTCTAACCAGACAACCTGTCCCCTTCTTCCCCAGCTCCGAGCAGCTGACCCAACTCAGAATCTCTTTCCTACAGGATGAAGTGCCTTTTTGAATGTTATTTTAAGCTGAGAGTTAATTTTTCTACACAACATATTTCCAAACATCTTTTAGTCTTTTATTATCTTAGATACTCTAAGAAGATGAACATGACAATTTTCTAGAGCCTGTTAGTGTGTGTGTGGTGGGGTGTGGGGTAGTGAGGGAGGGGAGTGAGTCATAGGAACCCGTCTCCCAACAGGTTCAGCTTTGCTCTGACCACCTGTGGCATGTTCCAGGCTCAGGCTCCCATCAGTATGAGGGGTTTTTTGTGACTATGTCCTTGTCCGCACTCATTTATAACCCATTTTGGAATGTATCTGCAGTTGTATGGCTCAACACTTTAGGAAACAATTGGTTCTTTTATATTATGATTTCTGATGGTGACAAATTTGTCTTGAGGTCACATTTTCCCCTTGAAAAGTGACATCATGTCACTTGTGCTTTCACACTACTGCCATACTTCCGTGTGTTTTTTGTTCTGTTGTTATTGGTTTTGGTAGAACAGTTACAAGAAACCCTAAAACCCTTGGATATATATTTTTTTAAAGGCCTGTTTATTGATTTTTTTAAACCTTTCCTTTCGAAAAGCTGGATACACTTGGAGCTGTTTGGGAATTTTCTTTGCTGCTACCACGCTGCCACCAAATGGAATTGACCAGAGGCTGTTACACTGTTCTTTGCCACTGTGCCTATGCTCAGAATATGCTCACTGCTAAGCTACAAACTTGGACAGGGTCAGAAACAGGTGTCCCACCCCATTGCAGACTGTACCACCTGTCTCCCTTCCCTGGTACTGCTGCCAGGAATGCAAAAGGATACAAAGGCAAAAGGGCCAGAGCACCACACAGATTTGATGTTAATCTTAACCTGCAGTCGGCATCAGATCCCGTGATAAGCTGGCTGTTCTCTCTGGAGAACCTGTGGCCTCAACCAGGCACCAAGCTGACATGGCCTAAGTTCATCTCTGGTCGTCATCTTAGAAGCACAGGCTGTTTTGAGCCCAAGGTTGGGTAAGCCTGTCTAGATGTGAAACTCATCACTTCAGACTAGGAAGAAGGGCTCCTCCTCTGAGCCTGGGCTCTCCTTGCAGCCTTTCCCAGTTTGGTGTTTAAGCAGTGCCATGTTCCTTGTTTGACAACAAGATAGTGTATAAAGTATTGCTCTTCAAAATAATTGAAAAGAACCCTCTTGTGTGGGCACCATTGCCTTAGTCCTCTGTGGGTTAGGTCTCAGCCAGAGTTCTGGTGGGAGTGACTGGCACTAGCAAGACTTGAAACTGGAAGTCAAAGTAAAATTTCTTTTCTTTTTTTATTGCTTTCATTCACAAAATAATGAAGCCAGCTGCCAATCATGCCCGCCCAACAGCACTTTGGTCTGTGGGCTCCTGTGCATTCAGAAGAGAAATATTCAGGGGTAACCAGATCTCCCAACATTCTGAGTGTTACAAACCCAGTAATCCACATGCCAATTAAAATAGAAATTTCCCCTTTATAGGCATTATCACAGATGACAATTACATGGCCGATCTGCATATGCCACAAACCTTTATTTGGGAACCAGTCATTAAATGACCCCGCTGCCTTAAATGTCTTGAATGTTGCAGTCAAGTGTCTATTATGTGTTGATGTCCACATGAAACTAGGCCCTAATGAGAGCCTTAGACCTTCACCCATGCCTCCTCCTGTGTTGGCATCACAAAAGGCCAACACATAAGAGGGGCAGAGAGGATGAAATTCCAGAATGTTTCAGGGGAAGCTAGCCTAGGAATAGTGTTCCACTTCTGACAGGTGGAATGAAAACATGTGGCAGACTTGAGCCAGACCCTTCACCTACTAGTTCCCGCATCTGTGAGCGCCCTTGTGCTGCTGTTGCACTAATCCATTGCAGAGCTGATGGGGAGGGAGCCCAATCCCCGCCACCACAGACACAGAATGTCTTGGGAGGGCCACCAGAGCCTCTGAGGGTTCTGCAATCTGTGCACCTTATTGGACCACACTCCAAATTTGAGTTTTTATTTTAACCCTTGATTCTGCTTTATGTACATAGTTGAAATATCTATATATTTTTAATCACCTACATGTAAATAAAGCAATAGAATTCTAACATTAAGGCCAAGAAATGAGATAAATGTTTAGGGTTTTTTTTTAATGGTAAATACGGGTATTGTTTTTGATTCTTACCTTTTATTAAATTTTGGGCTTTAAAACCTAATGAAACCTATTAGCTATTCTCTGTGCCATATATTTCCCACATTACCAGAATACTCCAGCTCTTTAGCCAAAAGAGAAGTCTGACCCCATGAGTTTCCATGATCCTCTCAGTACCAGGTTAAAATGTAGTCTCCTGGACATGTGTGCTTTACATTAAGATATGGGACAGGATTCCTTAGGTTCATGGGCTTCAACCCACCGTGATGTTATCACATCTCTAGCCAGGCCTTGAGTTGGGGGTAACCGAGAATTCCTGATGATGGTAATGCTCCATCTTCCATTTGCTCTGGAATCCTATGTGTTGGTCTGTGGTTTCACACACTAGCTATTTGTAAACAGTGCATTTGTATACTAATAAACACCACCTGTCATGGTTGATGGTCAGTGGGGAAGCTCCTTTGACATGGTAGTTTTGATGAGATGACTTCGAGGACATGGGGATGCCCTAATGACACTGACTTCTTGTGGTTACAGCATTTGAACTTCCAGTGTAAAAAAGAAGTCTGTAAGTCTATAACTTGGCAACATTTTACAATCCTGTATTTTAAAGAAGGCTTTCTAATAAAATCCAGAAACACACAGCCCTATGGTCAAATACTCAAGATATTTGTGCCTCTGCTTTTAAAGGTGCTGTGCTAGACAGTTGGCATGCCAGGGTTTGAGAGGAGTGGATGGCTTCATGTACTTGGAATTACATGTGCAAAATTGGCTGGCTCCCTCTGTTCCTATTTTACTGTAAATCTGATCATGTCTGTTCCTGATCCATTTTCCCAGGAGCTTCTCTGCAGACTGATACCCCCTCCCAATAGTGGAGATGTTGATGTCTAGTAGTTATGGATGTCTACTGGACATTTGAATGTGATAAACAATCCAGCATTACTTGGGAAATACTACATGTGGAATGTGCACGTTTCCAGGGATGAGTATTGTCAATCAAGAGGTTTGTAATGATTTCCTTCCTGCCAAAATAAACACATGAAACTGCCCTCTCTTGTGGATGGACTGCTCCAGTGGCAGCGCCTCTCTTTCCTCCATTCTGTCTCATGCCAGCACATTGGCTGTCCTAGGGTCCCCAGTTCTGGAGAGCAGTGTCCTTGAGAGTTAGGCTGCAGGACTCTAGGAGCCACAGACCATGGCTAGGGGCAGCCGAAAAACCATCCTGCCCAAGTTGCCTGTCACCAGAAAGGTAAAGAGTATTTGGCCCCCTGGCTTCCTCTCTCCAGACAAAGCAGTCTGGCTCACCATCCTCTCATAATGACTCCAGCCCTGCCAACAGGCTTGCAAATACAGTGTGAGAGAAACTTACCCCTAAACCATAAGAGCCACAGCCATTGTGTGTGATGCCTAAACCCATAGCCTTTAGGCCCAGTAGCTAAGATGATGTCATTACCAGAAGCAGCAAGACCAAGGAATCAGTAAAAGACTATGGATATAGCAGATTGCTTTCTCACAGCAAGACATCCTATAAGCATCATCCTCAGACTGCCTGTGTTCATGAAGGTAAGAAGAGCTTCAAGGCTCCTCTGCTCAAGACTCCTGGCAGGGACATGGACGTGGCTTCCCCAATCTCCTGACTCATAATTACACCTAATTCAGATACCAGAACACCAGTGTCCGTGATCTCTTCAGACAGATCACATCCTCATTTTGTGGATGAGAAAACCATAGCCTCTGAGACAAAGCTCTGCAATCTGTCCTCGGATACCTGGGTTCTGCCAGCGTGTATAGTTGACCCACCATATCCCAGGGTTCTACATGTGCGGATCAGACTGATCACACATCAGAAATACTCAGGATAAAAATCCCATCAGTCCTGGACATGTACAGATTTTTTGTCATGATTTCCTAAACAGTGTAACAACTATTTACACAGCATTTATATTAGGTGTTACAAACAAGAGATCATATGCAAAAAGGACAACATTTTATTTACGGGACTAGAGCATCCATAATTTTGGAATCCAAGGGGGTCATACACCAAATTTGCCTTAGACACCAAGGAACAACTATATATTCATCCCCAGCCACCCAGGATGCAGTCTCTGTAGCCACGGATAGTCTGTGCTGTGCCCTAGGTACCCTCTCCTCAGAGTGGAGCAGCTGGCTCACCAGAGAGAAGTCAGTCCAGCTTCCCTGATTCTCATTCCTTGGCTATGTCCTCTGCCACTGTCTTTCCTTCATGCTACTCCTTTCTCTCACCCTCCTCTCTCCTTCTCTGGCATCAACCCCATACCCCCACCTGCTTCACACCTTAGCGTACAAGCAATAAATGGCTGTAAATTGTGGCAGCCCTGAGACAGGTGTCGTAGGGAGACTCCACAGATGGGAGAAAAGGAAACAGGTCATCAAGAGTGCAGTTATGAGAGACTTGGGCACACTGAAATTTCCCCTCCCAATGTTTCTAGTTTGAGCAAAGATCATTTGTATTATAGGACCAAACAGGAGGACACCAGGAGGCTGGGAAAAGGCAGCCTTGGAACCATGGTACAGTATCTGATGGCCAGTCTGTTGAGCTTATGAATAAGGAATGCACTGGGCATGTGTAGAGTCCCCAGAGTAACTGGGAGTGTTTGAGTGGTGAATCTCTTATGCTGCGCTAGAGATACCAATAGCTGTGAATCTGCAGGCTGCTCGAAGCCCAGAGCCACCAACTGGCAAAGTCACCAGCCCGACCTCTGAGAACAGATCAACAGCCTCCCACACACCAATCAGGTAGAGGATGTGCACCCCAGTGATGTTTACCTCTTACACCTCCAGCTCCAGCACACACACACACACGAATCACCTGAGAGCTTTTAAAGATACAGATTGTGCACACACCTGCAATCCCAATATTTTGGGAGGCTGAGGCAGAAAGATCATAAGTTCAAGTCCAGCCAGGGCAATTTAATTGAAATCCTGTCTCAAAAAATAAAAAGGACTACAGCTGTAACTCAGTGCAGAGCCCTGGGTTCAATCCTCAGTTCAATAACAACAAAAATGGATCTCTTAAGTCCACTACCACCACTACTTAAATTCAGGTATCCTAGGGTGGTGGCTTGCATCATGCTTTTAAGTGCCCCAATGATGCAAGTGTGTGGTGAAGGCCGAGAACTACCCTTAACGGCCCACAGTTTGAAGAGCAAGCTCCTCAAAACTGCTCCAGGCCTGATGCTTAGGAATAGCAAAGGAGCTATGGGGACTTTAGGGGATTGAAATGTGTTGTTTTCTCTGAAAGATCTGTCATATATGTTCATTGCTAAAAGTTAGGGAAATCCAGAAAAGAACAGAGAAAGCCCCAGCTGGACACTGGGAGCCTTTCCCAAGGCCAGGGGGAGGAAAGTGCCTGGTAAAAGCTCTCACTGGCTGACAGCACCCTGTTCTTACATGGACACAGAGACCAGAGTGTATACCCCCACTGCACCCTGGAGCCCACAGCAGTGTCCACCAGGAGCAGAACACAGCTGTGTTCCCTCCCTGAGATGTAGGTGACTGTTCTGGCCCAAGCTGTGTCCTGTTGTACCACACAGCCCCTGCTGTGGTGGCAGGGCAGTGGTGCCTCCTGGCAGTTTCGTCTTTGATCTGCCCTAGCACTCTAGGGTTCCCACAGTATCCTCAGGGTGTCCTTCCCAAGTGGAATGAATCACTGCCTGGTCTACAGCTTGCAGCCAGACCTGGGAGCCCCTGGGTGCTCTGCCTACTTCAGGGGAAGGGCCAGGGTGACTGCAGGCAGTGGGCCTCAGGACTGAAGTCAGCACCTCCTCCCTCCCCATGTCCCTGGGATGCAGGAGTGGCAATGTTCTGCATCTGCTGGGGAGGGACTGAGATGAGCTCTGACACCAGGTCGAGGTGGGAGCTAGAGCTGGGATGGCTGGAAGTGGAGCCTAGAGTGGTGGGGTCCACCTGGGCCTACTCCCTCACCTGGGTCAATATTGACAAGGAGTGGTTGGGCCTTAGGAGACAAGTGTGCAGGAACAAAGTAGCTACTGGTCCCTGAGAACCTGCTGGATCGGAGTGGCCAGGGTCACGTGGGAGGTCAGTGAGATGAGGGATTCAGCAACAGGATCATGCTAGCCAGGCAAGCCCAGCTCAGAGACAGTCTGACTCCAGGACTGGGGAGGGGAAATGGGATGTCACGGGAGGCTGGTGGAGCAGGGGGAGTGGCAAGGGAACACCTTCCTACTCTGAGGGAGGAGAGAGAGAGGCTGGGCACCCCACCGCCTCATTCTGTAATGTCTGTGAACCTACCCTGGGTCTCAGTGTCCTCTCTCTGAGCCATGGCAGGATAGCCACAAGCCAGAGATTGTCCACCCAGATACGGAGGGCCAGGCCCCAGACTCCCCTGCCATCTCTGGGGCAGTTCTGGTCAGGCAGTGTCGTCTCCATCCAGGGACCCAGAGGATTTTGAGGGGAGCGAGCATGGAGAGGTCTACTAAGCAGTAGAGGCTAGATCGTGCTGGGGTTGGGGGTCCTGGCCAAAATGGGACTTGGAGGGATGTCACCCCCGTGGCATCTCAGGGGAGGAAATGTCAGCTCAGAAAGAGCACAAGAATCATCTCTAAAGTCACTTAGCCAGTGAGCACTGGAGCAAGGACTGGAACCTGACTCTGGAGAAGACAAGGTAACAGCTGTAACTCAGCTGTGAGTCCTGCTTTGAGCCAGAGCCCCACAAAGGATATACACACACACACACACACACATCACTGAGCCAGGCACAAGCCACAGGAACATGTCAGCAAATGTTTACTAAGTAACTACAGTGTACCAGCACTGTTCAGATATGGCAGTGACTTTGCCCACAGGAAGCTCACATTCCACTGGGGTCCAAACCCTAAGCAAGGCTCCAAAAGCTAGAATATGAGAAGACAAGGAAATGGCTGGGGAGGGAGAGTGCCTGGGTGAAGGTGGGAGGGAGGTACACCTAGATTGAGGCCTAGATGCCCACAGAACAGGAGCAGCCTCCTGGCAGGAAAATGAGCAAAGCTGAGACCAGAAGGAACTGGGTGTCTTCAAGAAAGATGAAGAACAAAAACACTGCAGTGGAGGGAGTGACAGCAGATGCAGCAGGAGGAAGGTGAGAGGAGTCTGAGGCTTCATTCTGGCTTTAGCCTGGAAGCTTTGCGGCAGAGGCAGATTAATTCGACCAAGTGTCAGATTCTGAGGTGAGGGGCTTCACCCTAGCTAGTCAGAATCCTAGAGACAGAAGGCAGAGTGGTGGAGAGGAGAGTGGGGAGTTGTTACATAGTGGGTGCAGAGTTCCAGTTTCCAGTGTGATGGAACCTTCCAGAGCTGGATGGTAGTGGTGGTGAATGTCCTTACTGCCACAGACCTGTACACTTAGAAATATTTAGGAGAGCAAATTTGAAGTGTGCCGTTAGCCTTCCAAATCTGCAGGTTCCACATCTGTGGATTCAACTGACCTTGGATTGAAAATATTTGGGTAATATTGTGTCTGTACTAAACTTGTACGGTCATTTTTCTTTATCATTATTTTCTAAACAATACAGTATAACACTACGTAGTACTTAAATTGGATTTGGTTATAAGTAAGCTACAGATGACTTAAAGTGTGTAGAGGTTACATGCAGATACTACTTCATTGTACGTAAGGGACTTGAACATTCCTGGATTTTGGTGGCCATAGGGATCTTTTACCACAATTTTTTAAAATTTAGGGAAAGAAAGCCCCTCCAGCTGCTCTAAAAGGTTGAAAGTTGAGCCAAGGAGGCCAAGAGTCAAAGAGGGTGGCATCAGCTCCCACTGGCAGCAGAATACTCCTAGAGCAGGGCAGGAGTCAGGAGTTCTGGCTAGGACCGGTGAGGAACCAGCCCCACTCTGGCCAGTGGCTGCCCTGTGAGTGTGGGGGAAATGAGAGAAATAGGCAAGCTCCCAGTTCCTTGACCTTGTTCCTGAGCCTCAGCGAAGACAGATCTGAGAGAAGCCTGAGGTGGACATACCAGGAGAGATGCACCAACAGTTGGATGGAGGAGACTGAGGCTGGAGGTGG